AAAAAGTTTATAGAGCTGCATATGTTGAAAAATAAATACATTTTTTTCCAAAATTTTTGTGTTTTCTTTGTTGGGCCGAGTATTTCTGGGATCGCCCTCGTACTCACAGAAGTTTATAGCATTTCTTTGCCTATGCCATCGAATAGATACCTGAATATTGATAATTTACCAATTAAATTTCTGGGTATCTTGAGAAAATTTTCATTTCTATGTTGAATATGTTAAGGAAAGGAAGTTGGAGGATATTTGTCAAAAATGTGAGTCTTTGTACTTAGTTATTCTCAAGAGAAGATTCTAGTGATTTTTCAGTAGTTTGGAAAATACTTTTGAACCTCGTGGATATGGAAGAGGATTTTCGAAAAAGAAAGGTCACGATATAATTCCAGTCTATTACAGAAAAGTTCGTATAGCATTTCCATAGCAAGCAATACCTGGAAATAAAAACAATGAATTTATATGTAAACATTGTCAGAAAAAAGTTGTGAACAAAGCAATAAATGTATATCAAATGTGAAGACACTTTTCATCCTGCATGTCTCAGGCAGGCTAATGAGTCTAAAAAAGGTGATTGTAAGCATGTGGTGGGAAATCAAAACCAGGGTAAAGAAAGAAACCAAAGTGATCTAGTCTACACTGGGGAAATATTCCTAAAAGAAGAAAATAAACTTCGAAGAGACGTAATCCAGAATAAGGAAACAATTATTAAGGACAAAGAGATAGTTATCTCATTATTGAATGACAAAATCGCATTCCTAGAAAATATTTTGTCACAATATAGCTACAATTATCCTCACAAAACTCCATCCGAACAAAAAAACGGCAGACAAATAGCACAAAAAAAAAGGCCTATCAGAAAAAGGTGAGGCTGAAAAACATACCAAGAAAAAAACCTTATAAATGAGTCAAAGGTAATAAACAGCCAGAAAGCGGAGAATGCCCAATTACAGGGTGATTCATTTTCCAAAGTGAATCAGATTGCACCAAAAATACTACAAATTCAAACAGAACAAAAAATGAACGAAAAAACACAGCATGATTACAAGTAGTAACAAGAAGGAAAAGAGGACATAACATCGGAAGTGGTAATGGAAATGAACATTTTAATGGGAAACACGAAAATAAAAGCAAAAAGATATGGCTATTTGTATCACGGGTACCAGACACCATTAAGGAGGATAACATAGAGAAATATATTAAAGATAAAACGAAGACAGAAAATGTGCACATCAAAAAATTAGAAACAAAAAACATACGGAAGGATAACCAGTCTTTTATGATTGGAGTAGATCTTCATCTAAAAGAACTTATTTACGCACCTGACTTTTGGCCCAGAAATATAATATATAATAGATTCAATTTCAAGCTAGGGCAACACTTTCTAGATGGGCAACCAAAAGAAGAGGAGGCACAGACAAACCAACCGAGGTCTTTTTTAGAAATGCAACAACAAGATCATCATACCCCCAACCACCAGTGAATTGTGATGATGCATTCAATATGGTTCATTTCACAGGGACTTTCAGGAAAATGTGATGACCTTAACGTATTACTCACAACACACAATGTGAAAATCGCTTGTATCGATGAACACTGACTCACAGAAGATGAACTGAAGACAACTGTGATTGAAAACTACAAACTCATCTCATATTTTGCTAGGACACAACATCGAAGAGGGGGAGTATGTATATTTGCTAATGAAGAAGTAAACCTTGAACCAATAACTTATAAAGGTAGTGTAGAGAAGAGCTTTGAAACGTGTTTAACACATACCAAATTTCTGAACAGAAATAGTTTCATATATATTATTGGCATATACAGAACTCCAGATAGTAAAATTGGTACCTTCATTACCAAGATAGAACAATTACTCTATGAAATATATAACAACGAGGATACTTTTATTATCTGTGGTGACATAAATATTAACTTTCTCGAATACAGTGTGAATAAAATGGTATTGATGAATCTGCTACAGGAGTATAACAAAATATTACATCAATGGGTCCACAAGGATAACTAGCCATTCTGCAACTTGCATTGACAATATCGTCTCGAATACAAAAATAAGTCATGTACGGGTGTTACACTTTTTTTTATCTGATCATACATATCAGCTTTGTACTCTTAACATTGCTGTGAATGAGGAAATCAAAACAGAGTCTATCTATAAAATAATATTCAGTAACTCTAATATTAGCGCATTTCAACAACATATATCCACTGAAGACTGGAATGAAATATACTCAGCTAACACTTTTCAAGATAAGTTTTCCATATTCTATAAAACATTTATTTACATTTCATTTCCCGTAACTAAAACTAAATTGAAAAATAACACAAAAAATGGTATTCCCCTGAAATGAAGGAAATGCATGCTCAACTTTGTGAAATGGAAAGGGTAAAGAAACAAACACAAGACAAGAATTACATTGCAGCATATAAACAGTTTAAAAAAAGAATATAAATGCCGAGTAAAACATTATAAAAAAAATGATGACAGACTTTTTAATTCACCTAATATCATGAGAGAGAGCTGGAAAATTATTAAAGAGGAAAATTGTACCAAGCAGATAAATAAGGTCAATATTGTTGATAATCAAGAACAGACAATTACTGATCCAATTATAAAAAGTAACTTTATAAATGACTTTTTCATAGATTCTTCTCACAATTTCAACAAACCCAATAATGGTGATAAAAATATCAACAGATTCCACAAAAGCTTTTTTCTAACACCAGTGACACCCATAGAAGTAACATCCATTATAAATAAGACAACAGCTAAACAGTCTGTTTAAAAAAATCTGTTTTTCCGTTAATCAGCTGCCGCCCCCATACGAACGACAACTCTCAGAAGTTAAGAAACTTGTGCGAGCTAAGGACTAACGAGGTCTTACCTTTTAACGTATGATTCCTAACACGGCATAAATGGGAAAATTCTCAAATCTGTCTGTACTCTTGTAGCAGATATCATATCATATCATATTTATTAAATGAATCTTTCACATCTGGAACATTTCCAGATGTTAAGGAATCAAAATGTATACCTCTATTTAAAATAAGGGCTCTGCTTGTTACATACATAACTATAGGGTTATATGCATACAAAATCAAATCGCTAAAGTATTCGAAGCATTCTATTGTGATAGATTGACCAAGTACTTGGAATATTTTGAGCTCATCTCAGCAAATCAGAATGGTGTCCGTAAACACAAATCAACCAGCTCGGCAATTTCTGATTGCCTAGAGTTTATCTACAGTGCACTGAATGATATAAATAATGTTCTTGGATTGTTCTGACTTCATTCGGGCTTTCGATTCCATTGATGATCATTTGTTAATCATGAAATTGGAAGGGTTAGGAGTTAGGGGTGTTCTGCTTCAATGGGTAACATCATACACAACAAACAGAACCCAGACGACAGTGGTGAATGGTGTGAAGTCAGATTCAAGAGTAATAAATTCAGGGGTTCCACAGGGTTCAATCCTGGGACCACTATTGTTTGTAGCTTTTCTGAGTGACATTGAAGACACCTGTAAATTCGCAAATCAAATGATATTATATGCCGATGACACTAATATTCTGATGTCACACAATTACCTTGATCAATTAACAAAATTAAGCAACAAGACATCTAATGAAATAGAAAGGTATAGCCTCGAGAATGGCCTAAGCCTGAATAGAAAAAAAACCAATTATGTCCGGTTCTTGCCAAAAAACATGAATCCAAATTATGACCTATACTTAACCTTATCTGGTAAATCTATATAGCCTTGAGAATGGCCTCAGCCTGAATAGAAAAAAAAACCAATTATGTCCGGTTCTTGCCAAAAAACATGAATCCAAATTATGACCTATACTTAACCTTATCTGGTAAATCTATACAATCCATGGAAACCATCAAGTTCTTAGGAGTTACTTTGGATAGTAAGCTAACATGGGAAGCTCACATAAATACTGTATGTTCGAAACTAAGCACTACATGCTATATAATAAAAAATCTGCGAGATACTGTATCAGCAGACATCTTGAGACTATTGTATTTTGGGATGGTACATCTACTCTACAATATGGCGTGATCTTCTGGGGGTCGTCTTGTCACTTTGAAAGAGAATTTGTATCTCAAAAAAGGATAATAAGAACGATTTGTCATGCTCATCCAACCACAACATGTAAACCTTTATTCAAGAATCTCCAAATACTAACCCTTCCATGTTTATATATTCTTGAACTGATTATGTACATAAAACGTAACCAAAAAGAACTAATGAGGAATGAAGACACTCATATGTATAATACTAGGAATAAAGAAAAACTTCGACAACCCTATTCAAGGTTATCAGTCTGTGAAAATTCACCAAAGCATATTGGTATCAAGTGTTTCAATAAAATAAGAGATAGATGTGAATCTGAATGACATTCTATTCAAAAATAAATTGAAAAATTTTCTTCTTGAAAAAGTATTTTATAATGTTGAAGAATTTTATAATTCGTGATATCTCATAATTGTAAGACTGACTATTGTATGTACAATTTTTCTGGTTTGTTTGCGATTAACAATTTATTTATTGATTTATTTGTAGATTACCTTCTTTTCTTTCTTGACTAGTCTGATAAGTGTTATGCATGTGTGTATGTATAATACCTTGTATGACCTTTGATTGATGAATAAATTCTATTATTATTATTATTATGAATAACGATGGTAGACCAATACTTATTATTATACTATATAGCTTGTTGAAATTATCAGGTTTAACTATTATTAGATGAGGCAACATTGTAAAATTGATTTAAGACAATTAAGACGCAGGTACTTAGCAGAGTATCTATTGTATGAATAAGGACAACTAGGTATGTATATTTAGTTTAATCTTCCTCTTGAAGATGATCACTTGGTGATCGAAACACGTGTCAAGGAGTTAAAAATAACGGTTTGGTGTTGGGATAAAACTCCAGTAATATTTAAAGACAAAATCAATGAATTGTAAAAAAAATCTGTAAAGCTTACATCTCTTTTCTTTTCCGTAGTTTTAGTAAACATTCCTTTGGTACACCTTGTTAAATGTGCATCTTCTTTTATAAGTTTCGTTTCTTTATCAGCAACGAGTTTCAGTAATTTCTGATGGTCTTCATAAGAAGGGTTGTATGACATACCGGGATGAGGAGGTTCTATTGCTGGCAAAAGACTCTTCTTCTCGGTAACACTTTTTCTAACCTCTTTCACTGGTATTCCCATTCCTCGAAGATTGTGTTTTTTTGTAGTTAAAGTGGTCCATTCATCCATTTCAATGGGATTTTTTTTATCTAAAAAAAGTCATTAAAATTCATATCAAATCAATAAAAAACCTATGGCTGTTTTGATGAGCAATACGCTCTATTAGAATATTTAGATGTTTCAAAGTCAATAAATGAAAGTAGTAAGGCAAATCTCTGTCTTCATTACATAACATCAGAAAGTTTATTGATAATGAGTTCTTTCTAAAATATTATCAAGACGTCTAAGTATTTATAAGAAAAATCAAACTACCCAAGTACTACAGAGATTTGAAATGTAAAAGAACAAAGTTGGTGAATCCTCAACACTATAAAAATGAATAAAGATACATGTGTAGGTTTCAATGAGTTTAGATGAGTAAACAGCAATTTTTGTAATATTGTCTAACATTCAACCCAAAACATAAGGGCGACAAATGATGGCATTGTAATCAACAAATGGAAAACAAATATTTTACAACTTTGAAATAATATGGTTGTCTTACATGGTATGTCTAATATGATTCGAAATCTATGAAATAACAAATAAAATTAGAATGAATAGCTAAAATATCAGTTATATATAAGCAATAAAACGTGAAATTAAAGAATAAAATAAAATAAACAATTTTCATTTCACGTTTTATACATAATTGATATTTTAGCAATTCATTCTAATTTTATTTGTTCTTTCATAGGTTTCGAATCATATTAGAAAATGGAAGTCCGAACTTTTAAAATTCACAGTGAAACATTATCAACCACTTTGAAACAAAAGAAAGCAAATAGTCAAGACAACTGCAAAGGAACAAAAATGACATATGGTGTACCCTCAAAAATGGAAAGACATTTTTCGCAGACGACACCATAATGCTATGGCCTAATAGAAACATAACACTTCATCAAACAATCACCAAGATATGACTAAAATGAAGGACTAGTGTAATTCAAATGCTATTCCCTAAATGAAAATATCTGTGGGAAATGATGTATACTGCTTTTGTAGGAATTGAATAGTTTACGACTCCAACTGACCTCCCTGTAAATTCAGTTCAGGAGCGAGTCTACAGAGGAGATGGATGTCAAATTTACAACTCCAACGAACCTCCCTGTAAATTTAGTTCAGGAGTAAGTCTACAGAGGAGATGGATGTCGAGTTTATGACTCCAACTAACTCCCTGTAAATTCAGTTGAGGAGCGAGAGCTTCTCAACTCCCCAACTCCTGATCCAACAACTGAACCTTAAAAAAAAGGTTTGGTGATGCAGCCAGGAAACGACTGAGTCGTCTCCTCAAGAGCGGGGTACCTTATAAAACCATCTTGCACCAAATTCTTGAGTGGCGTACGCAGAATCTGTCTCAGGTGGGGGAACAAACCCCCCCCATGAGCAGGTTAGCAAACGTTTGCGCTCATGTGATGATTCACCAAAACCAGAGGCAAAAAAGCCCTGCACGGCTGAATCTAAGGCATCGTCAGGTGTAGCTGACGTGCAAAAACCCTCACATGGGAAGGTTGTCGTGGGTATCAAGGTGGGATTTTTGCAACTTGACTATCCGATTACCTCATTAACAGAGCATATACTTTGTGTCTGCCCTGCTGGGCACCGAATCATGTCTTTAGAGTTCGGCAGAGCCAAACTCTTACCATCTGACCTGAATGACCACTCACCATACAAACTAATCAGCTTCGTTAGGAAGCTGGGTTTATTTGGCTGAGTGTGAATAGGTGTCAGCCACAATAAATCCTTGCGGGTTGCGGTGGAGGGTCGAATAGACCCACTCACTAACCTAACCTAATCAAGGGTTGAAACTAATTAATACAGTTTATTGTACGATTTTCCCTAAAAAGAGTTTTACAAAAACAGCTCTACAAAGGTATACATATTGCTTTCAAAACCAACAACAACTTAGGCACGCACATTAAGAATAACAAAGATATAAGTTCAGTTTCAGAAAAATCGGGAGTGTATCCATTATCATGTGGGTCATGTCCATATTTTATATGGGTCAAACTGGAAGAACGTTCAAAGCCCACATCAAGGAACACAAAAATAGTTTCCAGAATGGAAAAATAAATTTTACATATCCCGCTCATTCAATCACAGAGGTATATGAGTTGAGTTCAACCATGAATTGATGCCCCTCCATTTCCAGAAGAAAGGTTTGAAACTGAACCTGTTGGAGAGTATGGAAATAAACAAAGTCAAAAACTCTCAATATCTTATGAACGATCAAACTGAATTGTATAATTCTCCATTATTGAATCTGTTCATTTCCAGGTAAAAACAGTCAAGTATATTTACAGTACTTTCAAAAAAATTCATTCATATAGTTGATGAATTCATATGTGACCATTTCAGGTAGATTCATTCATTAGAAAGTAGGCATTCAAGTAGGTAATATGTTAGAGTATATAAAATAGTTGTAATTTAGAAGTAACTTTTAGTTTATGCTTGAGGAAGTTATTTTATAGCGAAACACATGTCGCGGTTTTTGTAAAACTCTTTATAGTGAAAATCATACAATAAACTGTATTAATCAGATTTAATACGGATTTCATTAAGTATCGGCCAGTTCTATTCAACTATAACGGATTGGTTAAGTCTGAATTGGTCCACTCTTGTCTTTCCCTTCATTACAAGATGTAAAGGGACAAATTCAAGGATGTTATCACTGCTGCTGTTTTCATTGCTTCTGTTCTCCCCTAACAAATCAGTATTTGCACCTTGTTTGATTTGTCATTAGCAGTAGGTTTTTTCATCTTTGGCCAAAAAACCAAAGAAGCATATGTTGCCGTTTTACCATTCTGTCAGGTTTCGATTTGTCCAAGTTTTAAAGATTACTTTAAAAATTACAGTTTGTTGAAGGAAAAGGCGTCTCTAAACCTACCTAGAAATATGTAAAAAAATCTTCAAAAAGAGCTGGATTTATTTATGTAAATCAAAAAATTTTGACTTTTGAAAAATTAATTTTACCCATTTTTTAAAATATTTTAGTAATTTCTCATTACCTTTATTTTCCCATAGATCTTCAGTGAATTCACCTCTTCTGATTTGGTTTTTCTTTCTTTCTTCATATAACTTTCTATTGGCATTTGCTAGTATTTCCTTGCGCTTCAATATTCCTTTGGCTCCATTTTCCAATTCTTTCAACTTTACTAGTTTATTTCTTCGTTCCTCTTTGGTCCTTACTCGATTTCTGAAATATACAATATACATGTTTATATTTATATGAAAAGTATAACTATTTTTTATGATATCCATTGGTTTGTATCGTGAGTAATATATTCATTTTCACATACACTATATTGTTGATTGTCAACTTTAGATTTCTGTTTCCAAGACATTATCATAAGTACCATATACTTATATGCATTTAATTGAATATAACTGGCCAATACTTGATGAAAATCCATATTAAAAACTAATTATTACAGTTTATTATATGATTTTCACTATAAAGGGTTTTACAAAAACCATGACAGGTGTTTCGCTATACAATAGCTTTCTCAAAAATTGGCATAGTTTATGCTGTATTAATTAGTTTTCATAGTCATTTGAAACTGATGTGTATTTCCTAATATCTAAAGTATTTTAGGATGAACTTATATCGAAAAGAAATAAATCAGGAGTTAAGTTTGAAATTGTTATTTTTATGGCATATCCGTTTCCTGAATTTTCTATCATTTTATGACAAATCTTTTAAATTTTTTTCCGTGGAATGTTGAGTAGGATTTACATCAAAATATAGGGTTTTCCAAATATTTCATATTACTTCAAAGGTTATGTTTATTTCTTGTCTTCATAGGACAAAAATCTTGACTCGAAAGAGTAAGTTGAGAAAACATTATATGTCAGTGTTATGTACACTTCATTATACACAACGAACAGAATAAAATTACAAATAATATTGATGAAACTATTATTTAACACACACTCATTCTTTTCATTAGGGCTGTCTTAAAAAAGTACTCGTCTGAAGAACATTCACTGAACTACAAGCAAGTCATTTTTTGTGAAGGAAATAGTATTTTTATTGACCTTTTTTTGGTATTTTCACCTCCCACAATCTGAAATAGTATTAAATTGTAAAGGGCAAACTTTTCAGTTCAACCTGATAAATTATTTTGTAAAATAAAAGTATTTTCCCAAAGAAAAATGTTTTAATCATCAGTAACCTGTGGAATTTGATAATTTTTCCCTATTAAAAAATGAAGACATTATACTGATACTTAATCTCAACATTTCGGAGGCAAAAATCTGTCTCCATCTGGAGAATTGGAAAAATCTAAGGATATTCTATAATTCTCAATAGATGTCAAAGGAATTTTGAAATGTGAAATATGTCAATGTATTTGAATGACTCAACTGGTAGCCAAGTACGTTTCATTTCTGAAGAACTGTTTGAAGTACATTTCTTTCCAGATATAATAATATATGCTGATTCTCTAAGTTCTCGTCTCTTACAGTGGAGTTCATTAGCAATCATTCTCATCTTCCCATCATGTTCCATTCAACTTGATGTTCACCGTCTAATTTCAAAATGTGTTCCGATAATTTTGATCCAACTGAATTAAATTATTTGTCTGTTTCTGATGCAATCTCAATGTTCATTCTCAAGTGTGGTGTTTGAACCTTCCATTAACTTACACTAACACAACTTTCTGAGAAAATGACATACTATAAGAGAAATGGAATATATTTTTTAGTTAGTTTGTTCATAACTATATAATGAAATGTGAAGAAAATATCGAACTTGCTAATGTTTGTTATCAGTATTTTATTTTTAATCAAGCTGACAATCGTCCACATATATAAACTATGAAACTTACCTTTTTGCAATTGGATCAGAAACCTTGGTATGAGGTTGTAGAGCTGAGAAACACCTCAAAGGTTTATTAGCCTTCAATTTCCTTCTTTCCTTAGCTGATAATAATTGTAAATTGGAATCTGAATCTATTTTGAATAACTCCTCGTTTGGGATTGAAGTTATAGATCTGTATAGAAAACAAAAATTATAAAACTAACAAAATGTTTTGACAGTTGTTACCCTAATCGTTCCTCTAGCCGTTTATCTTCGAGAAAATCTTCAACATCAGTAACATCAACATGCTTCCTCCAGGAACTTTTTAGTTTCTTGGAAACCTTCTTCTTTTTCGTTCTAGTAATAGCCATGATCTCAAAATATAAATCCAAAATCTAATAAAAAAAAGTCATCATTGGAAAACAGTGGAAAAGTGCAACCAGTAATAAATAATTATTACAAGATGAGAAAATTTCCAATTCTAAATACACACCTAAATTAATAACCCCACTTTAATGAAATGAGTAAATGAGATGAGAATCTTCTTCTTTTATTCTTTCTTGGATTCTGCCTCATTTTGACGCAATCTGCCAGGTTAGTAAAAACATCAAAGGCGAGTTCAAAACAATGAGAAAATATTGGAATAGATTCAATATTTACTAAGTCCATAAATGGAAAATTATCGTATTTTTTCGAGTAAAATTATCTCAGTTCAAGTGTTCACAAAAAAAATTTACTGATTTTCCATTCCTTTTCTACTTTCCGATCTTCAGTGAACCTCCCAGCCAACAGGAATACATCTCATATATGTCCTCAGGATATCACTTTGATGGCAACGGGATAAGTCTTATGTGATATCATCAAAAAATCGTCCATCTGTAATACTGTTATAACATGATTGTTATGACATCACATCAACTTCCTACAGGGATATCTCGTCGATATATTCCTTTTTTTTATTTAAATCCAAAGAATTCTCTAGCTCAAATGCCAAATATGTATTTATTACACGTTCTCTTCGTCATCTATTTCGGATTCAACTCTTGACTGGAGAACCAGCACATTTGACAAAATAATCGAGGATTACAATAAAGACATTTTGTTGTTTGAGCTATTGAATTATTTGTATCACTAGTAACCAATATTATTTTTATTCTCGAATAAAAACTGCAAATCTATTTAAATTCAATTAATACATTTCACCGAATATGAAGTGAATAAATAACTAACTGGGTTCAGTCATGGGCGAATCTTTTCAGCAAATCTTTTCATTTCACATCCATATCATGATGCATAAGAAATAAGTCCATCATTTTGGGCGGTCCGCCATGTTGAATGCGTAGAATGAAGTAACCAATAGGTAAATTTGCGAATAAAAATTACCGGGGGATATTCTCGAATCACTCGTATTTCTCAACATATGTGCAGGATACGTCACGTATAAAATGATTATTGTAGAACTTCAAAAAAGGTGAAGGAAAAAAATTGAAATATGGTAAAATTATCTAAAAGAACAATAGTTTCAGACCAGTTTCAACTCACCTACACTGTAGGGTAATATACTGGCACCTATCAGAAAACAACTACTCCCCTGGCTAATACCACGAAGGGCGTTGGATTATATCCTACAGGTATCAGTGCAGGATTGTTCTCAGAAGTAATTCCTGCATATGCTGTTGGCGATGCAACTCTTGGAATCTATTTACAATTATTGGAACACACTGGCAGACCGGTTTCGGGATTATTGGCCACTGGTCAGTGCATGATAGTGTCTATCATCAACATGTGTGTGCTCGTTAGGAGAACGAATGAGACACAACTGAGTGGGGACTAATATCATTCCTTGAACTAGACTGAAGCGAACGACAAACAACATATTTGTCATCGCCCCATCTGCCTGTGAACGAGGTTACCAACCGCAAATCCGAATCGACTAATTCCTCCTATCAGGTGAAAAAAAACTTCACACACTTAAATGAGTTGTAACAGGGTATAATTGAAGACTTGCTGTAAATCAAATTATCTAAAAGAACAATTCGTTCAGGCCAGTCTCAACTCACCTACACTGCAGATTAATGAACTGACACCTATCAGACAACAACCATTACCCTGGCTTATAACACGAAGAGCGTTGGATTATACCTGACAGGTATCAGTGCAGGATTCTTCCTGCATATGGTGTTGGAGAACGAAATGTTCTTTCAGATAATTCGTTTCATAGCCAAACTTCAACGGATACTAGTGAATGTTCAATGGTTTGTGCGGAATGAAGCCATCCACAGAGATTTTGAGCTGTTGACTATACAGCATTCCATCCAATCGAGGAATCAGAGAGTTTTCGAGTCAGCGGAAACTAGTGAAAACCCATTAGTTAGGGAAGCTGTGGATTATACTATAGACGATTCCTCCCGATTCAGAAGGCACCGTGGCTCAGTTGAGTGAAGGCCCCACGACGTCCGCAAAAGTGAACAGTTTTGTTCATTAAACACCCCAGTCAGGAAAGGGTTCACAGAGCCAGGGCGGCATTGTACCTTTATTCCGTAACCAACCACTTCCAGATTTGAATCATTCGTCCTCCTGAAAACATAAGTTGAAAGGATTTAAACGAAGACCATCAATCGGTATACATTCCATTGTCTCTAGTGAGCAAAAATGAGCGTTTTATTGTGTTACGGAAAGATTCTTGTTGACTAAAACGATCCGATGTTGAAACTGAGAAGCGTTGGAATTTGGAATCATTTTATGCAATGTAACATTTGGCATTCTGTTATGTTTATTTATGTTTCATAAGTTAGAATTCTGCAAGTACGAGAGTTTTGTTCATTTTTGAGAAGCGGTGAAAAAAATTGGAATTAAAATTATTCAACGCTATTTTAGAATTGAGATTATTTTTTTAGACCAGCACAATTGAAGAGTATAGTGGATAAACATGTTGATATTTTAAAGAAATCGGATAATGGTTGGGATCAGCTTTACGAAGCAGAAAATCTTCAAGTTAATCGGTTTTCAATGGAAAATGTTATGTGCACGTTTTTTTGCTATTTCGTTCGGAGAAAAAGCACGTTCTTCCCTCGATTGAACTCTGTTAATTACCTAATTTATATGTTCTTCCACTGAGCTCTTCAATTCTGAATCCAATACAAAATGTAATCAAATGAAAAATAACCTTACCATTCTAAATTAGACTGAAAAATGTTTTCATTATTTTTGGGAATGACTGTTATATACAAACTATCATTTATATATTATATATCTTGTGAAAATATAAATATGGAGAACTTATCAATGTGAGAATGAAATATAAAACGACTTAAAAATGGGTAGAAACAACATAAAATAACGAAAGTTATCAAAATTAAACTGACAATGTCAAGTGGGAAAATTCTGAATACTACTAGATCTTCTATATATTCTCTTCATCATATTTTATTAAATATCTGTAAGTTTTGTTGAGATTTTCAATATCAGGTTTTTTATTCATTGAGTGTTCCTCCATGATTGATATGTATTATTTCTAAAAATATTCTTTTAGTTGTATTAATTTCTTTATCTGAAATATGTGGCTTTTCAAAATTCATTTTGTGATCCTCCGAATTAACGCACAAGAATTAAAATTTCGTCTTCAGTCGCTCTTATACGAAGTAGTGAGACTACTTAGTTTGTCCTATATGTTTGTCCTATATATATTTTAGAACAATCCATGTGTGGAACATTCCATTCATGACTTTATGATCTGAAAAATGTCACAAGACTTCGACATCTATTGCCTAAAATAATGAATTTGAAACCTTAGCATAGAAAATCGACAGAAGTTATGATGAAAAATAAATAGATCAAAATATTCGGATGATTTGAAAGTGTGAAAAAAAAGTGACATAATAAAATACAGATAATTTGTTAACGCAACAAATTGTTATGAGCTGAAACAGATACTATATATTTAAAAGATGAGTTATAATGATTTCGAACTAATGTTTTGGTTGTTAGTATTCAAAATCCCATGTTCTACCTTGATTATCGTATTTCTTTGTGAGATAGTTATTTAATTTCATTATTTGGTTATTTCTACGAATTAGGTATCTTTGATGTGCCGTACTTTTTATTTTCAATACGCTCTTCGTTTCCTAAAGTCGGGCTTTGAATTTACTAATAATGATAATAAAAATTTGTAACATCTGACAAGAAACATTGTCAACCAAGTAGTTACATTTAATTATGTTTCGGAACATTATGCAGATCATTGGAAAAAATATGAATTAAAATATGAGAATTCGAATAATAATGAAAAACACACACCTATGTACTATGTACTGGTATGGGGCATGTATAATTTATAGGTTTTTATTGATCTTTTCTGGGATCAGGTACTCATCTTCTACAGACTGAAAAAATAAAAAATTGTAATGGAGAACTTTATACTGGTGCAGAAAGGGTAGCAAACTTCTGATTTCTCACGATATATTTCTTTTAAATAAAAATATTCTGTCTATCAGTAACTTGTGGTAGATATTCAATAATTTTCCCTATAAAAAATATAGGGTTTTCATTCACATTCATTTCATATTTAATATTGAATAAAGGATATAACTTTTGTCTAATTTTTACTAAGTTTATTATTTGTTACGACCGGTTTCGGTTTATTAGGCCATTTTCAAGTGGTCTATTTGTTATGACCGTAATCGGTCATAACAAATAATAAACTTAGTAGAAATTAGACAAAAGTTATATATTCAATATGAATTCCTACAAAATAAATAGGTAATCAATCGAACAAGTTATTTCATATTAACATTGTGGAGATCTTAGAAAAAACTTGTAGGTACACGAAGTTATTTTATGGCAAATATAATAACCCTTTTGGCAATCACATTGTAGTCATCAATCAATCAATCAATCAATATGCTTTATTGTCGGAAGATTAGTATCTTATGACAAAGTCTTGTAAAAAAATCAAATGAATGTCATAAAATATAAAAAATACAATCATAGCAATCTCACAAATGAAACATACGTGACATAAAATATAAAAAATACAAACATAGCAATTTCACAAATAAAACATTAAGAAGACACATGAGTATAGGTGAACATTATAGGTTATCATAGTAGAATTCATTGATCGAATAATAAGCTTTTTTGATTAAAAGATCTTTAACTGTATTTCGGAACTTTTTGATATCTATGCTATTTTTTAGAATGGTAGAAAAATGATTATATACTTTAATACTTTCATAAATCAGAGAATGCTGAGTCAAGGTGAATTTTGGAATAGGTAAGTAAAGCATATGGTTCTATCTAGTGTTGTGACAATTTGTTCCGGGAGTGTACATGCTAGTTTTATTTTTATGAATTAAGCATACTGTTTCCATCATGTATTAACAGGTAACAGTTAATATTTTGTGGCTGATGAATAAAGGCTTGCAGTGATCTCTCGGCTTAGACTCAAAGACCTCTTCTGTAGCTTAAATATCGTATTCTGTAATTGTAAACTACAATGGCCCCAGAAAGCTATTCAATAGCGAATATGAGATTTGATCAGTGCAAAGTAAGCCATTCTAGCTGTAGTGTAGGTACCCTAGTTCATTTGATATCACTCTAATAGCATAACATCCACTAGATACTTTTTTACTCAGATGGGATACATGTTCTTTAAAATTTAGTTCATTGTCTATGTGGATGCCTAGGAATTTAGTGTGCTGTTTGTTTTCTATGTAGTGGTTATCCAAATCTAAATCGTATAGTATACATTTGAAAGTAACTAGTTTTGTTTTGTTTAGGTTGAAGCACAAGGAGTTTGCGTTACACCAGGCTTGAATTTGTTGAATATCTATTTTTATCGTATTTGATAGCTTCATTACTCCATATAATAGTGGTATCGCCGGCAAATACAGTAAATTGTCCTGCGATGTTAATGGTTATTAGGTCATTTACGTATATTAAAAACAACACTGGTCTTAAAACAGACCCCTGAGGTACTCCATGTTTTATGTCACTGAGATCAGACTGTCCACTTGATGTTTTCACCACCTGTCGACGTCCTGTCAAATATGAACCAAACCAGTTCAAATTTGTTCCTCTTATCCCATAATGGCTGAGCTTACGCAGCAGTGTCTTATGATCAACGCAATCGAAAGCTTTCGAAAAATCACAAAACACTGCTGCAATAGCCTTGCTATCATTTATGCTAGAGTATGCATTTTCTAGAAAGGAAAAAATGGCATCTGTGGTATTTTTTGAACTTTGAAAACCGAACTGAAGGCTAGATAGCACATTGTTCATCGATAAGAAGGACATTAGTCTTTTTTTTACTAATCTTTCAATAATTTTTGAAAGGGTCGATAATAAAGAAATGGGCCTGAAATTTGAAGGGTCTTCCAAATCTCCGCCCTTATGTAATGGAATAACCATAGCTGTTTTCAAACATGTGGGAAATATACCATACCTGAATGATTTATTAATGCATTCAACCAAAACATGTAATGCACTTAGAAGTAGATTTTCAAATATTTTTACAGACATTCCATGTATACCCTCCGAATTTTTATTTTTGATTTCATTGATTATCTGTATAAGCTCATGTACATCCGTATCCGTAAGAATAAAATTTTCAACAACATTTACATTTTTAAGATATTCCAAGGGGTCACAGCTGGCTTTTATGTTCTCTTTTAGTTTTTCAACGATAGAGCAATAGAAATCTAATAGTTCTTTTGGATCTAAGTTAATATTATTGGGATTGGCCTTATTTTTACCCCTAATATCATTCACTACAGCCCAGTTTTCTCATGTTTTATTGTTGGCTGTTCTGATTCTCTCTGCGTAATATAGCCCTTTTAATAATTTGCCTATAAATATTCTTATATTTATTAAGGTATCTTAAGAAATATATATTATCGGTATACTTCCTAATTGTATGTAATGATCTTAAATTTTTTCCTGAATTTTTTATACCAGTTGTACTCCATTGTTTCTTATTTTTTTTTATTTTCAGTTTATGTACAGGAAAAGATCTTTCAAAAATGTCTATCATAATATTATGAAAGACAAGTAATGGTTTTTCATCCTCTAGCAAACTATTCCAGTTGATTATTTCACAACATTCTCTGAATTTATTGTAGTTCTTTTTGCGATAAATTTTACCAAATCTATGATCACATGAGTGTTTGATTTTCATAAGTATTTTCACATGTAAAGCCTCATGGTCTGAAAGACCGGAGGAAATAACCGAACAGAGAACATTCGCTTCATCTAAGATGTTCCCAAAATCAGTGTAATATGCGATCTGCGGTAATATGCGGTCGGTCGGTAGCCAAGCGGTTCGGCGTGGGTGCTTTGTTCACTCACTCGAATTGACTGCCGTGTTGGTCGGTGGTTCAAGCCCTTGTCTGAACGATCGATCTTCACTTGCTATCGTCCAACCCGTGTTAGGAATCACAGTTTAAAGGTAAGACCTCGTTAATCCTTAGCTCGCATAAGTTTCGACTTCTGAGGGTTGTCGTTCGTAGGGGTGCGACAGCTGGTTAACGGAAAAACAGATTTTTAAACAGATCTCGCAATAACTCCAAGCGATGTAACGTGATTGCTGGACATCAAGTGAAAGTCAATATTTTTTATAAAATTTAAATCAAAATAGAAACATAATATATTGCCAATTTATTTTACCGATCCATGCTCAGGTTAGACTTCTTCGAAGGTTGACGTTTCACCATCGTATCAGACACCGACGGATCGAAGGGGGGGGGGCAAATGCCCCCCCCCTCCGAGAAAAAAATTCCCTCAGGGATGTGTGCTTATAAGAATTGAACTTTTTTCGAAGCGACAACCTTTTAAAAAAAATTATTTAATTTGATGTACGTTCGAATTTTATTTTAATTTTGGCGGTGGTAGTGGCAGCAGAAATTTGCAACCTTGTGACAAAACCATTTCGATAATCGCCATTGCAATTTTTTATTGTTGCTTTCTCGTGTAATCACTTTTTATTTATTTTTCGCCATTGTTTTTGATTGTTTGCCCAGCAAAACTTGAAGCTGTAACGGATAACGGATAGATTATATTAGAATGTGTGTGCCACAGTAGTGTACACAAACCATCAAACCAAAACACAGGCACCCCGTGCACGAGCCGTACTCTTATTGGCGAACACATTCCCGCGCTTGTCGATTGTTCTGGAACCTATGCTTCGCTTATGGACCGAATCTTCCAGAACGTTACCGTGCGTTCTAGTGCATTAGCGAGTATGCCAGTAATTTCTAATAAATATAAATTTCTAATAAATTTCTAATATAAATTAAAACCAAACAAAATAGCTAAACATGTAAAAACATTATGCCTAAAAATATTCTTCCGCTGTTACGCTGTTTAACAGAAATACATTTTTCTGTGGATATTTTTGTATATTTTGGTCAACCAGTGATCCACTGAAAGTGGTTTAGTTTCTCTCCATTGTGAATTCTACTATAAGTAAAAACTTTTCTTTGGCTATTCTCTTTTGTTTGAATATTTCTTCTTGTTCAATGATTTGAATGTATATATGTATTGTAAATTGGTCATACTTCTCTTTCTCCTGCAATTATGTGTGTTGAAAATGTATTTAAATATGTAAATAATTCATTTTAATTTTTGTATTTATTGTATTTATTTGTGTTCAATAGTTATTCATGTGCGTTATGTATTTTATGTTTTGTGTACATCAAACAATTTTCTTTGATAAGTCCAACAAACTCGTATACATTTTTTATATTTGTATAGGGGCTTTCAGTGACAAATAAATTGTTTTTAACTTTGAGTTTGATAAGTAAATAAATAAACTTCCCACACTACATGGTAGAATATAATAAAACATATTTTCCTATATGAATCAAAACGTAGGGTAGACCTACAGGTAAGGTATTTATCTATAACTTGGTGGTTTTAGAAAGTTAGGGGTGAACTAAGAAATATCGATTGCCCCCCCCCGAAATCATGGCCTGGATCCGTCACTGATATCAGATGACATTATCTGGCTTCCTGAAGAGCAGGTAACAGTTAGTTATCGTCCTGAGTTAAATCAAAAAATGTATCTAATCTATCTATGCATGTATGTATGTATATATGTATCTAATATCTATGCTTCTAGAAAAAAATCTTTTCGAACGGTTATTAAATTGAAATCTCAATACACCTTATATAAAAGTACAAAAAGTTATAAGTACGCTCTGGAGCCACTATATACGACTCAGTGTTGATCAACACCGACTCATGTCAAAAGGACCATTTGGAATAAATATGAAATATACGTTAGTCCAGAGGTTTTTTTGTATATAGGAATGAGGTTGAAAAATTGTTACTGTTTTGAGTGCGCCAGGGCTTCAAAGTAGTTCTTGGGGAAATGAAATTATATTGTATTTGATATATGATGATAAATTCGTTCCTATAAATGACTTCATCAAGCAATGACCAAGTAGTTATCTTTGTAGTTATTTCATACTTTGTGCCTATAATTTATAAATAACGGACGACGCTGACTAAGAAGAAACCAGTTTCGAAAAGGGCGCTTTAAATTTCAGATGACAGATGGCAGCACGATCAGAAAACTCCACGATTTATTTTTGTGCAATACATCATGGCGCTCGTCGTAGACAGTTGCGGTGTTGTGTGAGGTTTCCATTTTTCAGTGTTAAGTTTTACGCGGTGCGGAACGTAAGCTAGTGAAAGTGATATTTTTTTAATAGTTGTCTTCAACATTTTTTCATGTTTTAGTGATGCTTTATATGAAATTAGTGGAGAGATGACGATATGGGGCACATTCCAACAGTCAACAACCTAATTTTGAACAAGCAGGTGTTGGGTTAGCATAGAGATTAAAGCGAAACATATTTCGTGGTACCGACCCTGCATCTCAACAGATTGTAATGGTAAATTTGAGAATTATCACCTATTCTCGATACACTTATACGACATGCAGGTATAGTAAAGATCTTATTTGTGTCTTGTTTACGTATTAATATGAGGTGATTTCATATCTACTCACTAATAAACTTTCTCCTTTGAGTAAAGGGATAATTTTTCGAAATTTTTAGTAATGAATATTTTTCTGATAGTTATTGTTTTTAGATCAACTGCGAGCTAAAAAGGGGCTCTAAGAGAGAGCCGTTGATATGCTGTTACGATGGCAGGAAAGCCTGACTTAGCAGCTACCTCTGGAGTACAAAATGTAGTGGTGTACGTATCAAATGACAATTTTGCCCAGGCCTACACTGTCGGTCAGCAAAATGTACCATCAAATGCCCATCTACTGCATAACCCTGGTTATGGAAATGCTCCACCATCTATGTCCCCTGTGGTGTCCGCAACAAAAACCTTTCCAGAGAAACAGTCTATCAAACCAGAGTATTCGTCCAATGACAGTAGTTCTGTGCCGTCACAGGGTTACTTCACAAATGTTATTTCACAAAATAGTTTTCCGCAGCCTCTAGTGAATGATATCAGCTATCAAAACGGTGCTGTAATCAAGAACTATGGGAACGGTGAGGTGTTATCGGTGGAGCGCCAGGCGGGCCCTGGACGCACCGAAGCCAAAGTGCGTGAAGAGTGTGATAATCGTGATATGTACGTGGAACCGGGTTACATGACAGTTATGGGGGCTGAGATGCCCTCTCAGAGTGTCCGTTGTGATTCAGTGCGATCCGAAGCTGCAGAATCGAGCTGCAGCAGCTTGAGCTCTGCGGACGAGAGCTTGCTTGTGGTACAAAACCAGCAGTCTGAGATGGTGGTTTACGATGGGAATGTAAACGTTCGTCCTGCTGGTGTTGTATTGGCAGTGGGACCGCCCCCACTGCAGCAACAAGCTCAGAACAATACGTCTACGGTCGGGACTCTAAATTCGGTACAGAAACCTTATGTGACAGTTCCTCATGGGTGGAAAAGGCTGAATAATGGGTCTGTCGTATATATCAGGTGAGTGTTAATATTTTGCTTTATCCCCATTTTAGTTCCTATTTTGTATTATTCATTGCCTAGACAACTGACAAAGGTTCATTTTTTAGAAATGAAGAAATCACAAGCTAGTCAGAGACAATTAGGAACTCTGGCTTTTCTAGTCAATATAATGTTATTAGTTGATTTCAAATGATCAGCAATGTTCAAGACAGTTCAACAAAGTTTTTTTTTTAATGAAATGTTAATTACTGTTTTCCATATCAGGATTTTATTAGAAATCAAAACAAAAAATAATTTTTTCTCGAGTTTGTCAAATGAAATCACTCTGAAGTGTCTTCCACATATTCCTGAAGAACAGATCTTAAGGATTGTTATGAGTATATATACCAACATTTCCATAGGTTCTAATGAAAATAGCATGGAAAATATATTATTTTCAACATCGACTTGAATTGAAATTTGGGATGCCATAAAATTCACTTATGAATACAAAAACAGAGATTTTCTAAATGACGTCTTGTTCAAAGCATCTTGATAACTGAAGAAGCTATTATATAGTGAAACACGTGTTGCGTTTTTATAAAACTGTTCTGTGAAAAAGTCACAATAAAGTGTTTGTTGAATATCTTCTTGAACACATAAACTGACTGAAACTATAGAGCATTCTCATAGGAAAATAATCTACTTTGTAGATTATGAGCTTGGTATTCTATTTATAAAAATAAGGACAAAATTGTTTTCCAGTTTTGAATAGATCAGCTTTTCGATATATTCTTGATATGATTTTTGGAGTAATTTCTTGTTCATTCAGTATATATCATTCATACAATGAAGCACCTTTCTTATGAAATATGAATATGGAAAGCAATATTTGTCATTCAAAATTCTTAACCTCAGACCTAACCTCAATATAACAAAACTCTATTCAGTATCTTGTACAATTTGGAATAATTTCATGATTTTCAAAATGGATTAGCTTTTTTTGGGAAATGGATTATGAAATATACAACACTTGTGAAAGATCCATTTTTGGATAATATTTATTACTTCTTCACCTCAAATTTTTAATGGAAGTTTGTACTTGAATCATGACTTAAAAATGAAATATTTGAAGTTATCAAAATAACAGTATTAACTAAGCAGTATCTCTAGAGTTCATTATTCTCACTGACCAATAACTTGTATTCACTTTAGTATGGTTAGATATAGTCTATATCATGGACAATGAATTACTTATAATATTTCATGAACACTATAAATTGAAATCACTACCTTATGCATAATAGAACAATTATCATTTAATTTGATTTAGACCTGAGTTTAAGACATAATTATTAACTTCATTGAATCCTTACTTACCTGTTTATTTAGCACCTGAGGTAAGGTATGTAAATGAATTATCAAACAAATAATTAGAAAACTGCTTTTCTGAGATATCAGCTCTGAAGTTTGAGGTTCCTTAGACCTTATGAATAAGCTAAATAGCTATGCTGACACATCAGTGCATTTATAACAAATTATTTAAATAAATCATTATTTATATACACTCTGAAAACATTAACTGAACTTAAATATCGGTAATCAATACAAAAGAATCTGGATCCCTTTTTTGTTTTTCGTCTACCATTATGAGTACTTTTATTTGTTTGAACAATTGAACTACATTAATATTATATTCACATATTGGAAAAAATGAAGTACTTATATTTTGACACGAGACATAATGGTTTCTCTTGAATTGTAATATAACATTAGCAGAAAAACACCAGTTTTCCATAAATAACTGTGTAACTGTGAAGGGAATTCACTTTGTACTTTTGATCCCATACATGACATGTTTATATACCGGGTGTTTCAAATTCGATCCTCACCATTGAGATCTCGGAAACTATGAGAGATACGAAGATGGTTAAATTGGGCAAAGTTGCGCATTTTCCTGACTACCAATATGCCGTTGAGAAAGTTCTGAAATTCCGAGTATATCCGGAGATATCCGAAAAAGAAAGAAATTTCGGAACTTGGTTTTTATTTTTGTCTGGCTTTATTTTTCGAAGGATTCGAAAATAAATTGCACTTCCACATTGCCATTTTTCCCTGCTACATAATGGTGTTTTCAGATTTGCTATCCGACGTTTCGTCTTCCGACCATCATCATTAACTTTATTTTTTCTTATGAGGGCTACAGTGGATTCTTTCTGTTTTGAATAGAACCAGATTTTCCCTTTTCAATGATGTATCATAAGTTATCATTCTTTTTCGAAAAATTGGAGATATTGAAAAAAATTAATTCTTATCATAATAGGCTTTGATTTTGATGTTTCTAAATTTGACTTTCGATTTGTTACACTCAATGACATTGTGTTATTGTACAAGTCATTGAATTTTTGGCTAAAATAGCTTTCATGAATGAATTACAAATGAACCAAACTTTGAGAGATTTTGATCCAATAACTTGAACTTAGTTCGATGTGGTTGTCGTCTTTAGGAACACAAGTTTAAATACATTTCCGATGTCCTAACACTGTTTCTACGGTATTTGTAATAAATTTGTATCATATCTTTTTTTTCTTCATTTGTGAAAGCCAGTTTTCGCCAAAAATTTAATGACTTGTACAATAACAAAATATCATTGAGTGTAACAAATTGAAAGTCAAATTTAGAAACATCAAAGTCAAAGCCTATTATGATATGAATAAATTTTTTTCAATATGTTCAATTTTTCGAAAAAAAATTATAACTTATGATACATTATTGAAGAGGTAAAATCTGGTTCTATTCAAAACAGAAAGAATCCAATGTAGCGCCCTTAAGAAAACATAAAGTTGATGATGGTGACCGGAAGACGAAACGTCGGATAGCAAATCTGAAAACACCATTATGTAGTAGGGAAAAAGTGGCAATGTGAAAGTGCAATTTATTTTCGAATCCTTCGAAAAATAGAGGCAGAAAAAATAAAAACCCTTTTCCGAAATTTCTGTTTTTTCTGGATATACTCTGAATTTCAGAACTTTCTCAACGGCATATTGTTAGTCAGGTAAATGCGCAACTTTACCCCAATTTAACCATCTTCGTATCTCTCGTAGTTTCCGAAATCCCAATGGTGATGATCGAATTTGAAACACCCTGTATACATAGACAAAAGTTGTAATGATCACCTCTTCAGATCGTGTATAAAATTTAGAATTCCCTTTTGTTTTTTCATATAAAAAACAAGGAAGGTTCTTTATCTTCACTAAGCCAGTCAACAAGTTTAAAGAAAATCTGTTTTATCACATTGAATTGTATCATATTGAAAGATGGTGGGTGTACAAATTCATTCAATAAATCAATATTTCTTCCTCAGTGTAATTTGTGGATGTGGATAGCTTTACACCCCTATAAAATACCTAAGTAAGTTTGAAGATTATTTATCCAGAAGTGACACCTTTTGTGAGAGGTAGGCCAATTAAATTGAATTGGAATTTCTCTTTCAAAAAATATTTGTATTTAAGGGTTGGATAAGATTAGCCTATCCCTAATAGGTAATCCCTGTTAAGTAGCAGAACCACTTTGGTTTTTCATACATTTATTTTTAGGCAATAATTTCACTTCCCTGTTATTGTTATCATTTTATGCATTGAGAAAATAGTTTATTCAGGGACTTACATTGAAAACATTTCAATAATATTTAATAAATATTCAATTTGAAAATGGCCTTTGTTTCTTAATCTTAAAGAATAATATATAATTTAACGTGACATTAAATTCATCTCTCAATCTACATTACCGAATAATTACATTTCTTGTAATATAATGTAAAAGTAGAAACCAGTTTATTAAAAATATTACTTATGAAAAATCGAAATATATTGAGAATCTGAGGGTAATTTCAGGCCAAGTTTTATGGCTCCTATTCTTGCGTTTCTATGATTTAATAACTTTTTTTTTCAATGGCCAGCAGAATAGAATGGAAATAATTTACACACGGAAATCATGTTTATTTGTAATGGAATGTTTTTTGTTTTATGTTTGAATACGTGTTTTAAGTAACCAGTTGGATGAAGCAGTCGTTTTTGTCAATGATGGCTTTTTTGAATGTACACCTACTTCCTGGGAAGTTTAAGGCGAACACTCTGTATATTCTACCCCTAAGAATCATAAAAAATTGTTACTTTGATTTTATTCGTTCCCTATTTCAATGTTTCAAGAATATGCGTGTCCCAAGTTTTGGCCCGTTTAACGTTTTGTGCCAACCCGACCCTGCCAACTACCCTGATACATTCTTCTGGTGCGACAAGGTCTGTGAGGACAGGCCGACAGGCGTTTCTTTCGACGATTTCACGTAGCCGAGAAGTATAATAGGGCGCAGGCTGCAATTTTCGAAGAATTGTTCGGAAGGAGCGAACGAGAATAAAAGATTTGAAGGATTTATGACTGCTTTGAATTTGCGTGTGCTTGTCTTTTATTTATTTTCCTTTCTGCTGTGGCCTGAGGGAAGTCGTTTTTTACACGTACTTCTACTTTTGAATATTGCACTGTTTTGGCTCAATATTGGCTGGAATTGATGGTGTTTTCAGAGACATACCGAATTGATCGTTTATGATGCAATTCAATAGATAAGGTATTCGATATGGAGTAAAGTAAATTATGTTGTTACTTGCAAACAAAAGCGCAATTTAATATTTGTTACACGTATTGATGCAATTTGTACTTACATATGAAATTGGATTTTGAATGACTTTTACAAGTGAAAATATTACCAAAGTATTTCAAAGAAATTTTATTTTTTTTGAACGAACAAAACTGATAAAAAACCTGTTTTTTTATTTTGGGTTTGGTTTGGTTCTGCTAGCTTAACGGTAAACTCAAGAACCTACTGATTGAAAAAGAAACATCGGCGATATGGACCAATAGAAACCTGAAATAACCCTAAAAGTATGACACCCGCTGATACAACAAAATGTTTTTTTTTCTGTCGAATTGGGAGAAAAAATTCTGGAATAAAATAGATACAAAATTAACATAACACATATTATGTC